AAAAAAAAAAACCCAGGGGGGAGGGGAAGACTTTTTTTTTTTTTTTTTTTTGGCAGAAGAAACTTTGCATGTCTTCTGTCAAAAATCCCAGCCTCCCAGAAAATTATTTTACTAAGTTCCAGTTCCAAGTTGTAATTGGTCTTTGGATAACACCTAATAGCTACTTGCATGACAGCATTTTGTGTTTGGATAAAATGGTTGATGAAATAAATTAACAATCCACATTAGATTTTGGTTTACTGTAACTTCCATATCCAAACCAAGGCTTCTCTGTGTTTTTAAAAGGATATAAACCCGAACAATGAACATTGCTTATTTGCTTCCTTTTAGTCTTTTACGTTTACCATTGCTGTTGCATATCAACTATGGAAAGTTCACTTCTTCCTGTGACTGCAGAAGATTCAATCTTCAAACTGTTTAAAATAATGTTTCTGTTTTGTTTTAGCTGACATTATTTCAACTGTTGAGTTCAACCTTTCTGGAGACTTGTTTTTCCACCACGGAGCTGGTTTGATACTACCGATTGATACTACCTGTGGATCTGATATTGCATTCAGGCCATACATTTGGCAAGTTTTTAGTCAATTTCAATCAATCAGGAATCACAAACAATCTAAAGCTCTCTCCAGAAACAAGTGAGCAGGTGTCAAGTGATCAGTTTTTTCTTCTGCATTTGATTCTCTGTTCCATCAGAACCACCATTTTATGCCTTCAGTTGCTTTATTTGCACTTGATAGTCCTTGATAGACCAAGAACTCCTATGATTCTTCTGGGTGGAGATTAAGAAAGCTTACCCAATATTAATCTGCACTACCTCCTATGAAGGCAAGTGCTAAGAAAAATTAGAACTTCCTTCTACATCAGTGACTCAGTCTGTTAGAGAACACCTGTAACTTCCCATCAATGCTTGGGAAGAATTGATGTATGACCTGGTACGAAGTTGCACTGAAAATTGGGGTGTAGGCCTATTCCCACCCTCCTAATCTTAAATGGGTTAGTTTGTGGTTTTCCAAAAACTATGTAACCCCTAAACAAATAAATCCCTTTCATGGAGCTGTCTAGTAACCAAGTAACACAGTTGATGTATTTAGAGTATATAAAGCAGATTTAATAGAAAAATTACACAAAACATCAAATCACCTACTACAAGACATCTAAAATCATTTAAAAACGAAAAAACGACCTCCCCTGGACAACCCTATTAGAAGTAATGCTGGTGCTTTTCCATAAACCCCGTGTGAGCCAACAGGCTTTTCTCGGTCTCGGCTTAAAAATCACACAGATCTTATTACTGCTGTGATGCGGCAGTGTCCGAACAGACTTGGCTTGGTCCTGTCAAGCAGCAGAACTTCTTCCTTCACCCGGCAGCGTATGCATGATAGATCTCGGGTGTGCAGGGAGGCCTGAAAACACGCTAACCCTTAGGACCAAGCCAAGTCTGTTCGGACACTGCCGCATCACAGCAGTAATAAGATCTGTGTGATTTTTAAGCCGAGACCGAGAAAAGCCTGTTGGCTCACACTGCCTGAACCCACACTGTCTTCCCGTCCAGTGTGTCTTGGATATATCATCTCCGGGATTCTGCCCCGCTCCATCTCCCTGTGCGGCCGCACTTGCTGGGAAATTCCCTGATTGCTTCACGGATCCGGAACTGTTAGAATCCCGCGGGCCAGTGTCAGTACCAATGAACTGGGGGAGAGACGCTCAATGAGCCTTTGGATCCATTACGTGAGGATATTGTGGATTTACATATCAACACAAAGATATGTTTCATTGAAGCAGTTTTTCCACTATTAATACGGAACCACACAAGGACTGCTTCCCATCTGAGCCACACACAGAGTGAGTAATCTCTGATACAATTGTATCTACTTTTGAAACACAGCACTTGGGCCTGCATCAGTGACTATCTGCCACTTAGGTGGTTTATGGAAACAGCACCCGCATTACTTCTAATAGGGTTGTCCAGAGGAGGTCATTTTTTTCGTTTTTAAATGATTTTAGATGTCTTGTAGTAGGTGATTTGATGTTTTGTGTAATCTTTCTATTAAATCTGCTTTATATACTCTAAATACATCAACTGTGTTGGTTACTAGACAGCTCCATGAAAGGGATTTCTTTGTTTAGGGGTTACATAGTTTTTGAATTATCTTACTGAAACCCTGGAGACTAGTCTACATAAATATTATTTGTAGCGTAACTCCTTTTTCCCCTATTTTGTTCATAGTTTGTGGTTTTCCTCATTAACATAGACTGTATTTTTATAAACCAACTGTAAATATATAGAAGAAAAATAATTATCTGAATATTAAGTGACCAGTGTCTCATATCACATCTATTTTTTTTCCCCCGACAGAGTAAAAACCGCCCTCATTCTAGGGGTGAATACAATGTTTACAGCACCTTTCAGAGCCATGAACCTGAATTTGACTACTTAAAAAGTCTGGAAATTGAAGAAAAAATAAACAAAATTAGGTGGTTGCCACAGCAAAATGCTGCCCAATTTTTACTCTCCACTAATGGTAAGTAGATTACTTGAGTTTTAAAAAGGCTTGATGGTTTGAGTGGCAGTTTAAATCAGTCCTTTCCTGGCTGTGCCCCACTGACATGAGCCCCTGCAATTGTACTGTATCCTTGTCCTGTCTATTTATACAATTCCAAAGAAGTTTATAGTATCGGTGTGGTCACATTGCAACGCCAGATTCACCAGAACTGGTAAAAGGCACTTGAATGCTGGAGGTAACTTTTTAGTCTTATAAGCATGTCAAAATCAAGCTTGGCCTTGCCCCCTTCCACATTTGTGAGCTTTTTCTAAAGGCCTCGTGTCTCTTTGACTGCCAAGGACATGTCCTACTCTTGCCAATCAAAGGGTTAAAACAAGCTATTGCAGCCGTGAGCTTGTTGTAGAATCTATCTGCAGGCGCCACTCTTTGCTCTAGAAGTAATTAGAGTGGCTGTAAAGCTGCCCAATCACTTTTTTGGGCTGCGGAATTAGCCCATGATTGGTTGGTTTGTCGCACAAAAATAAAAAACCAATAGCGCCGGAGATGACCACTCCACTGAAGAGGTAAAATTGCAGATTCTACAGTTCGCTGCCCCACATCAGTCAGGGAGACTGTGATATCTAAGGAAAAACAAGGGGTGCCTTCCCTAGTGTAGTTACATTTTTATTAGCAAGATGGCAAAAGTAGGATAATACTCACTAAAAAGTGGATGACAATGAGCCTTCAAAATCAAAGGTTGATCCACATTTTAGCAAAACACAGCATGTGAGAGCTGCACAGATAGTGTTCCTGTGTGCCAGCACAGTATGCCTAAGTTGACGTGTTTCCGGGGCCACGCCCCCCTTCCTCAGAACCTTCTCCTTTTGACAGTTATACAGGTAAGTAAAAAAAAAAGTAAACACACACATGAGCGCATATACCAAAAAAATATGTTCACTTAGGACTCATGTACGTACATAGACGCCAATCGGCTAACACATTGGGTACCATCACGTATGCAGCCGTGTAAAGGAATAATTCAACGGCTATAATTTATATATAATTGAAGGTTAAGGATGGTTTTACGTCATTTTCAGGCCTAAAATGCGGAATATAACATGGGTGCAAAAATTGAAAAAAGGGCCTCAGTCATGAAGGGGTTAAGATGTTTCAAGCATCAGCTATGTACATTATTGGGTATCCTAGTTTGTTGCCATTTTGCAGATGCAAGCTATTTTGAGGTTTCACATATTTTGGTAACCTATTTACTCAACACAGACTTGTCTATCCTATTTTACAAAAAGGAGTCTGAGTGTGCACTAAAATTCATTTTAATGTTGGTTTTTTTGGGGGGGAGGTTATTGAGAATAGTTTTCATAAAAGTGAAATTTGAAATAGTTACAACTATTTTATTTGACAGGTCCACTGCGTTTGGAAAATAGTTTTGGGCAGAAACGTGCATTTTAACGTGTGCGAACAAATATAAAAAAATTGGTCTGGCTACAAAAGGGTTAATGTGATGGGCAGTTCCTTTTGACCAATAGGGAAGGTCAGGGCCAAGCTGAGCAGAGGATGGTTTACCTCAGTGTATCTCATTTTATCATATGCTCAGATTACATTTTTATATGTTGCTGATAGTAAATGAAGTTGCATGTGATCTGAGACCAAGCTCGGACAACCCATGTAAAGCTAGACATTGTTGTACTTTTGTGGTAAGGTTAGTGTAGTCATGTGCCAGACATTTGGAACCCTTGGTATGGATGGGGAGCTGGCATAATTTGCTGAATATACAATATCTCATGATCTTTGTTTTCTTTTGATCGGGGAATCGTTAAAGGGTGTATTTAAGATGCCTAACTGCTTGATGAATAGTGTGGGTGATTTACAATTTTAATTTCCCACCTTTTTATATTTATTATATATGTGTTTACAGTTTAGCAGGTTCATGTAAGTGAGAGGTGTGCTTCAAACGCCCTGATCACATGTTCACATTAATGCATATGAAGACTTTCATGCAGTAACCCTGCTGCAATTTTAGCATGTTGCACTTATGCCATACCCCTTGCTTAAAGTGACATTAAACCCTCAGATTTTGTAACCTAAACCAATACTGTAATGTGTGCCTTACTGTAATCCATGGTAGTTTCCCTTCTCTTTGCTGCTCTTCCTTTTAAATCTGTATCTGTTCTCATGCTGGGCAGAACTTCTGTTTTGCAGCAGACTGCCTTGTCTCTGGAATGGATACATGGTGTCTGTGTGTAGGTTTGCAACCTGAGCCAGCACTACAGGAAGAGGCACTCAGCTGCAAAGGGAAGTTCTCCCCAAGCATGAGACGACATGAGGATTTAAAAGGAAGAGCAGCAAAGAGGACGGAAATTACCATGGATTACAGTAAGGCACACATTACAGTATTTTATGTTAAACAATCTGAGGGTTTAATGTCACTTTAATCATTGTGTAAAATCTGTTTCAAAGAGTGGTTGCTTTGAGCTGGAGTTGAACATGTGCCCCAGTTGTCAGTGAGATGAAGAGATTGCTATAGAGAAATTTCAGGTCAGGTTCCTGCTTTATGCAGCTCCTTGTTGCCCATCTTAACATTTGATTTGCTTTTTTTTCTCCAATCTGCACAACTGTTTATATATAATAAAAAAAGAAACTTTTCAGCGTGTTTTTATTTCCCAGACAAAACAATAAAGTTGTGGAAAATAAGTGAACGCGATAAAAGAGTGGAAGGCTACAACTTGAAGGATGACGATGGCAGGCTACGAGATCCATTTAGAATCACCTCTTTACGGGTATGGATCAGTTGGCTTACATGTGAAAGTTGAAGTATGCAGAACATCTTTTGTTTGCCTGTACAGCCAAAATACAATCTAAATATGTATATAAGGGAGGTAAATGTGCTGTGGCACAACAGTCATTTGCTCCTGTACCCACAGTCCTATCAGGACTTTGATGCGAATGGGAAAAGGAACTGTTGTAGTAGAGAAAAAATACTAATTTGTGAGAATTAAACGCAGCTCCAAGACTTGCACAACAATCCACAGGCAGCTTCTGCTATCCTCCCTTCACATCTATGTTTTAAAAAAAAAAAAATGTCCCAAATATCTTATCGTGCTCATAGAAGCGATCATGCAGTCAACACTACATTTTGTTCTCTGGTCGGAAGCATAATTATTCACCACATGTAGTCCGTAGGACTACAGGAGGCGTGTCTATGACCCCCAGATGAAGTTGGATGACACTGATCATCATCCAACAGGCGATTGCATGGCAAGAGCTGAGGAATTGGCCGTTGTAACCTGTGTAGCCGCATAAACAAGCTACGTATTACAGTGGGGTACTCCTTTCAAACTGGGGAATAATGTGAGAATTATTTAAGCTTTTAAGGCTGAATTCGGATAAGTGGCTACGCTGCAATGCACAGCTGCTGGTGTATGTTAGCAGTCATAGTGCCGATTCACCTATCCCAGCACATCCCACTGTTGTGTAACCTGAGCCCGTCCGTTACAAGGCAAATATCCTCCAGTGCATTTGGTGTGAATCCAGCCTTAGGATTTGCAGTTTCTACATTTTATACAAATGGAACCCAGAAGGTTATGGTGGGGAGGGTCTAATGGAACCAAAGAGCCCTTTACTGAACCAGTTTGTAGCACAGTAGTACTTTCTAAAGCTGGCCATACACCTATAGATTATCTGCAGTTTTTCTGTGGTCCGATGAAAAAAGTGCAACAGATTCCTCCATCTACGCTAAACTGCGTGGTTGGAGGAATCTCCCACTGGGCCAAGCTTCAGTATTTTTCTAGTCAGCCTCAGTGGCTCTCAAAATACATGAACAATGCCGGCATCCAATTAGATTGTTCAGGTATTTAGAGAGCCAGCAAGACCGACTAGCAAGATACTGAAGCTTGGCCCAGTGGGAGATTCCTCCATCTACCTAGTTTAGCGTAGATGGAGGAATCTGTTGCACTTTTTCCAAGTCTCAGTCCATCACATATCCCATAAATATAAGGGGACTTGTCCTCATTTCAAGGAAGTGGCAAACTTTATGCAGAAAGGTGATCTATATGTTTTGGAAAGTGAATTTGGTATTTGGAAGAAAGTTATTGTGTGATGAAAGTGTCTTGGGGAATTGACCTTATAGTAGGATATAGCATTTCCTGGTTTTAGATTATCTGCAGGGAATTTATCAAACTGGGGCAGACAGTATCTGGCGAAGTTGCCCATAGAAACCAATCGGCTTCTCTCTTCAGTTCATTTAAGTTTTGAAAATTAAACATGGAAGCTGATTGGTTGCAATGCACAGCTGCTCCACTTTTTCTCTGCTTCAGTTTTGATGAATTCCCCTGGTTTATTTTTTTTCAATTTTTATTTTGCAGGTGCCAATATTGAAACCTATGGACCTAATGGTTGAAGCAAGTCCACGAAGGATATTTGCAAATGCACATACATATCACATAAACTCTATTTCAGTAAATAGTGATCATCAAACATACCTTTCAGCAGATGACTTGAGAATTAATTTATGGCATTTAGAAATCACAGATAGAAGTTTTAGTATCCTTTTTCTGGTGACGTGTGTAATTGCCTATCCTAGGGGCATACTTTTTTGGGGGGGGTTATTAAAGCAGGTATATTTTGGAAAAAGCATTATCTGTTGCCTTTGTAAATTGCGCTGGCAGATTCCTTTCCTCGATCATCTGGGTATTATTGAAAATAACAAACCGAGGAGGAAGATTGTGAGAAGATTTATTACAGTAAAAAGCACATACATTGGGGAGAATCTTCATACTGGGGCGGACAGAATCTGGAGCAATTGCCCATAGTAACCAATCAGCTTCTCTCCCCAGTTTGTTCAGTTAAGCTTTGAAAATGAAAGGGAGAAGCTGATTGGTTGCCATGAACAGCCGCTCCATGTTGTGTATGTTCCAGTTTGGGTTAATTTCCCTAATTGGGTCCCTAACGTTTTGATGGGCTTTGCACCAAAAAGTGCTTAATTTGGGGTTTTGGTTACCAAAAATGAACTTATACAATGTTGTGTAAGTTATGCAACTGTAGAGAAATGTTATAATGGTTTAGTACACATTTTATGATGGGGATAAACCTATATTCTGGTATCTGGTGGAGAGTTGGGCTCATTTTCACGCTTTCAGGTTTCATGAGCATAATAGCTCAAGCTGGCCATACACCTATAGATTATCTGCAGATTTTCTATGGACAGATAGAAAAAGTCTAACAGATTCCTCCATCTACGCTAAACTGTGTGGATGGAGGAATCTCTCACTGGGTAAACAAGATTGTTCAGGTATTTTGGGAGCCAATGGGGCTGACTAGCGAGATACTGAAGCTTGGCCCAGTGGGAGATTCCTCCATCCACACAGATTAGCGTAGATGGAGGAATCTGTTACACTTTTTCCATCTGAATATAGATAATCTGTAGGTGTATGGCCAGCTTTAGATTTACACACGGCTGGAGGAGTCAAACCAAACCAATTTTAAGCAGACTGCAGTGCTCGGAGGAAACTGCTACCGTGTGCTTGGAGTGCTTTGTCATGATTGTAAAAATATGACAGATGGCTCTTTAAATTGTAACACTAGCCCGTGAGTAGTGCAGTGAATATCACAAAAATGCCAGCCAAAATATATGAAACCTTTGGCAGGTAAAACCGCATGTTTGTATTTCACCTGATCAATCGATCCTAGATTTTGTTCAGGGTCTTATTCGGCTGGCCCATACACCACAGCACCCTGTCACTCATAATGGTTGTTCATCAGCAGATCTCCATTACAGTGATATGGTACTGCATGCAAGGTATTCTGGGTACAAATTAAAACCATGGGTGTTTAATTCTTTGATTGCTATGATGTATTACAGATGTTACCACGTGTATGAGAGGCACAGACAGGAGGATATGTGTAACACAACCTTGCCAGTTAGGGGTTGAAGTCTTCTAGTAATTAGTGTGACTATTTTTCTTAAACTGCTTCCATTTATATTGCCGGGATTACCTAGTCCTGCTGGTTTATAGATCCAACCTTCATCTCTTCACAAAGGACTTAGGACTCGTGCACACAGCCATTTCATTTTATGTAAGATCTTGCTGGCAGCAATTTCCTATGTAAAATCTTGTTCCACACATTGTGCACATAATAACGTCTGTGCTAATGTTTTACATGCATACTGCATATAGCAAAGATGTGCCCGTTTGGTTGCTAGGTGGCCCGAGCTGCCAGCGTTCTAGCAACAGAGCACAGTAGGGAGCTGCAGCAGCCTACATCCTAGCAACAGATGCTGCTCTTGTCACCTAGCACAAATGTTTACATGCATCCAGTATAAGATACAGTCCATATGCAGGGCTCTGGATGCAGATTTTTGTTAAATTATTTTACAGATCTGAGCGCAGCGCAAGTTTACTTATCTTTGCACAGCTGAGTGCATGGGCCCATAGAAAACAATACACCTCCTGTATTGAGAAAAATACTTTTTATGGCCGTGTGCATGATGTGGTTTGCAGAGCATTGTTTGGCACATTTCTAGCTGTAGATTTGATTTAGACCCATCATGTTCTTTGATAAATATGTTTGGTGCAAATTTTGGATCCATTTCCTGCATGTGGCACATTGAGAGACTCTTCACTGAGACGTTGAAAATTGTCCTTAACCCTGTTTGCAGACATTGTAGATATTAAGCCTGCTAACATGGAGGAATTGACAGAAGTCATCACGGCTGCTGAGTTCCATCCTCATCAATGTAACGTGTTTGTCTACAGCAGTAGCAAAGGAACAATTAGACTCTGTGACATGCGGGATTCGGCACTCTGCGATAGACATTCGAAATGTAAGATACGCCCCTTCCTTCTATAGAGAACATTTTGCAGCTTGTCCAGACAAGCTCCTGGCACTTCACAAAACACGATGCTAATAAACTATTGGGAAAGTTCCATTTACTTTGATGGTAGTAAAATATAGCTGATTACTTTCATCACCATTTCAGGCATGTAGTGAAAGTAAGTCATTCTGAAAAAGTGCTCCTTACCAGGCCTGCGTGGAGGCAAGACTCTGGCTCCTGTAGACTCTTGCTCCATATTCAGGGTGTAACATGGAAACCGTTCAGAAAGTTAAACTAAGCCTTTCAATTTATTAACTGCTTGCCATGCGCCTGTTGTAATTAAATGGCTGGGTGGATGTTTTTAAACATCTGTTCCCGCTCGTGTGGGAGACTTTGAACGTTTTTTGTTTTTTTACAGACGTCAATGACTAGCGTACAAATGTTCAGGCAGTTATAGATTCACTGGGGAAGTGTATGCCCTAGGCTCTTTCCCAGACTCTGCTGTCCACCGGGCGGGCCCAGAATCTGCACAGTAGGTCTGTCTACATTTGATGAGCGGGAGATCAGCACACTTCCAGCGGCTGAGCTCCCCTTCAATCACTGAAAGTGGAAGCAACGTGCATTACATTGCTTCCGGTTTCAGTGTGTCATTTCTTTGGTTGCTGTAGCCGGAGAAAAAAGCTGGTGAAGCACAATCTGAGCTTTATTGACTACTTTGAGGTCCCTAGGTGTGACAGAGGTCTCATAGACCCCTGATATCTCCATTTAAGATGACCTGTCACTGTATCTGTGCTATCGCATAGGGGCTTGTCGCATATAATTTTTTTTCTCCAGTTTTTGAAGAGCCTGAAGATCCCAGCAGCAGATCGTTTTTCTCTGAAATCATCTCTTCAATATCAGATGTCAAGTTTAGTCATAGTGGCCGCTACATGATGACCAGAGATTACCTGTCTGTCAAAGTCTGGGATCTCAACATGGAGAGCAGGCCGGTAGAAACATATCAGGTTAGTATGTGATCTATGTACCTTTTTTATGTTCTGAGTTTTGTACCCATTTGATTCAATGTTTTTAACCAAACTCTTCTGCTATGAACATTGCACAGGTTCATGAATATCTTCGAAGTAAGCTTTGTTCCCTTTATGAAAACGACTGCATCTTTGACAAATTTGAGTGCTGCTGGAATGGATCTGACAGGTGAGAGACCAAGTGACCAAAATGATTTCTAGCTTAAAGGGAAACTGTAATGGTTTTAGATCAATTATATTCTGGTGGTTTTTTTTAATTTTGGATCGCTTCTGTTGTAAAGCCGACAGTCGGCTCTACAAGTTTAAACAGAGTCCCGGCGGCAAAAGTCGCCGGGAGTCTGTTTAAACAGCCCCGATGCTGGCGACGTACACTGTACGTCGTCAGTCACGAAGGGGTTAATTACTAGGTTGTCTACTGTGTGTGGTGATTTGTGTTTTTTGTTTTTACTATGCATAGAATATGACAAATCTTTTCTCAAAGTTGTGCTTTAATATCAATTAAAGACCAATCCAATAAGTCAATTTAGGGTGGGGGGTGGGGTTCTGGGAAACATGACTATTTTATATATTACGCTCTAAATATAGGTGAAGCATTCTTTCAAGGCGAGAATATAGTTATGTACAGAAGCAATATACCTTTTAATTGTAAACCTGATGGATGCTGAGCTGGTGTGAAATCTTAGCTCTTCTATGTTCCATGTGTGAAGCACAAACAAATTGAATACAGATTTTAAAAGCATTAAATGGCAGATGTGACTATCCAGAGACTTGCTTGTCTTCACGTCTGGAGACTGAGCCTTTTAGACCTCGCACAGCTATGTGCACCCATGTCATCTGCTTTCCTTTAGCTGTAAACAGGTGATTTGGCTTTGCTGGGCCGTTTCCTGTACAGTTCCTGGAGCACATCTGCCATTGTACACAAGCACTTGGAGTCGATGCCAAATTCTCTATTGCAGCACTTTTTTAAGTGAACAGGGAAGACGCGTGCATGAGACTTACAAGATGTGAGGCTATAAATGTTGTCCAAATATTTTATATAATGCTCATTTGTACAATTTGTTTTATTGTTCCAGTAAACCTGCAAACTGATATTGTAGTGTCATTGCTGCATGCACTGACTGTACTTTTCTAGGCTACATGGCCCTTTAATGCCTTGGGCTATAGCAGTATGTAAATGCTGTTACATCTACTGATATAGATATAGATAATAATAAAAAAAATAGAATATATATATCTATATACACAGTATTCATTTTTTTTTCTCCATCTATTAAATCTTTATTTTTTCATCTATTGCCATACACTAAAAGGCTTTATTTACAGGGATGTTCAGAGGCGTACATTGTGCACATCTGGGGAAGAAACCTGCAGCCGGGAGGGACAGCTGTTGTGTGCAGCCACCTGTACAACACAATGACAGGATGTGACTGCACTCTGATTAAATGGTCCAGTACAGATGTTTAAGTTTGGATCAGCGTTTAGCAGGGTGCCGCCACATTCTGTCATTTAAGCTGTACAGGTGGCTGCACACAACAGCTGTCCCTCCTGGGCGCAGGTTCCTGTACAGATGTGCACGATGTACGGCTCTGAACATGGTGTAAATGAGATCTTACTAGATTCTTGTGTAGGAAAAAAAGTTTGTATTTGCAGAAGTTCTTCATTGATGATAAATGCAGTGTAAATATATGAGGGGAATTTATCAAAACTGGGGAATCCGGAGCAGTTGTGCAGCATGGCAACCAATCGGCTTCTATCTTTCAATTTCAAAGCTTAACTGACCAAACTGAAGAGAAGCTGATTGGATACTGTCTGATCCAATTTTTTATGAATTTCCCCCATAGAATCTAAAATCAGGACTGCTTCAGATTCTGTGTGCTTCAGTTTTGATTCTCCGCAGTATGCTTTTCACTTAAATGGTTACCTTTTTTAAACAGGTTTTTTTCCAGTATCTTCAATGTGGCCTCTATCGGTCTCCCTTTGCTTTTTAAAGGGGGAGGAGGAGAGAATATCCAAATATAGTTCCTGGCCTTGTGGGGGGTTTTATGTGGTGTGTAAACCTTGTAAGCACATTTCCCCTCCAGTTTGTGTACAGATCCTTTCTAAGCATGTGTGTAATCACCATAGGAAGCCATGCCTCTAGCCCAGCAGCAAGAGGTATAGGCTGGAGGGACTTGTCGCATGTCTGCATTTTACCTGCAAATTATTTTGCAACGAGGGGGAGTTTTATGTAAAAACGTGTAATAACAAGGGTGGTGGGGTTGGTGCAGATGGGAATCTTGCATATTTAATGTCGTGTCGTTTCTGCTTCGTCATCTGGCATAAAGGAGCAATGGAGGGAAGCTCGTGTGAATGACATGTTGTAGGACAATTTGCATTATGTTTTGTGTTTGTAGCGGCCCTGCATATTAAAGTTTTTTTTTTTCATACTTGAGAAAATAGTTGTAAAAACGTATCGAAGGGAATTTATCAAAACTGGAGCAGACTAAATCTGGAGCAGCTGTGCACGGCAACCAATCAGTTTCTTTCTTTTGCAAATTGTATTTCATCAAACTGGAGAGAGAGAAGCTGATTGGTTGTCATGCACAGCTGCTCCAGAGTTTGATGAACCCCCCCCCATTGCATGCTGCTTTCTTGTCATTTTAAGGATTTCTTCAATATTTTTCAGTGCAATCATGACGGGCTCGTACAACAACTTCTTCAGAATGTTTGACAGAAACACACGGCGGGATATCACCTTGGAGGCCTCTAGGGAGAGCAGCAAACCACGTGCCATTCTAAAGCCAAGGAAAGTGTGTACGGGTGGTAAGAGGAAGAAAGACGAAATCAACGTCGACAGCCTAGACTTCAACAAAAAGATTCTGCACACTGCATGGCACCCTAAAGAGAATATTATTGCTGTTGCTGCCACCAACAATTTGTATATATTTCAGGACAAAGTTAATTAAAGATGGTATTTTCTTTTTCCTTTTTTTTTTTTTCCCCCCTTCTCCATAATTGTGAGGGCAAAGTCTTGTTCTTGCATAGTTAAACCTAGTTGTTTTTCTGTAAGAGATCAGACCATGTTGTCCTAACAGTAAAAAAAAAAGAAATGGATGCGCTTCCCTTTGTAGAAAATGAATTAAAAACAAATTAGCAGAAAGCTGACCTGGATTTCATTTCATGATAATGCTCTGTCCAGTAAGGAGGAAGCCACGGCCACCTAGTGTCCATATCCCAGAGGGCAAGCCCACTAGAAGCAAAACTCTGAGGTCAGTACTGATACCTTTTTTTTTTTTTCACTGTCATAGACCAATAACATTAGCTGGAAGGAATCCTCGTATTTAAATGTAATAGTTTCAAGTTCCCACTCTTCTGTAATTGTTGGACTTTGGCCTTAATTCAGGACTGAGCTACAGTGTTTGTTTTTTTTCTTTTGGGTTATTACTCTTTTTGTTGTACTTACCTGGGCCCAACCATAAAATTCTATGGAGAACGTTGCCTATTGGTAATGATTATCTGGATATTTATTGTGGCCTTCTGTGTTTATAGGCCTAACACTGAATCTCCTGGAGGGTTCTGTATTTTTACCGTTTGGGTAGACGTGGAGAAAAACACGTCAGAATTTAGCCGGTCTGAACCAGGAAAAAAAAAGCTCTGATCTTGTGATGCAGTAGAAGCTTTATAATCGGCGTGCAGTGTAGCCAGAGGGGCAGATGTGCACACACACACCGATCTTCATAGTCTCTGCTCTCTCATGGCAATGAAATATGGATAATATGTTTTAGTGGTTTCTGCCGCATGTTTTCAAACATCCTGACATTATTCTGGAATATTTCAGTCCCAGCTACTGCGTCACAGTGAAACTTGGTGCTTAGTGGGTGACCTACTATCCCTTGGATAGCAAATCAAGAATACACTTTCATTGCTCTGACTGCCCTAAACCATTAAACGGCGAAAGCTGATTAGCTAACGATGACTGCACGTTGTTTGGGTTGTTTTTTTAATAATTCCCACTGCCCACATTTCTGTAACATTCCTCTTCTGCTCTTTCTGTAGGCTTGGCCATTGCTACATTTTGAGCACTTAAATTTGTTTTGGATCAGTATGCAGCACCAAGCCCCCTTCCCCTCCTCCGATCATTGTATTACCACTTTCTTGTGGAAACCCCTTCATGAGAATATCAAAGCGTGAGAAGAAGCAGGCTTTTTTTAAATTCAGATGTCTTAAGTTTGTTTTCTCTGTATACTGCATTGATTTGCTTCAGAATTTGAATTCTGAGTTGAGTTCAGATTTTCAGCATTCATGCGTTGCAACTTCTTTTTTTTTTTTCCTTATTTTTAATGAAATGGTAAGGTTTCAGGAGGGCTGGCTAATGTGGCAGCCATTCAGCCTGAGGAGCTGCATTTCCCAGCATGCTCTGCTAGCAGGACCACAATGGGATTTGCATATCCTCAAGACCTGTCATTGAGTGAATTTTTAACCTACTTGGTTATATTTGTCGGTATCCAATGAATGGAAATTAAAAATACAGGGGTTTTGCACAGTATTATGTAGGACAGTTGTAACATTCTAACAATTGTCATAGTGTACCTAATGTGCATTATTTTTTTCTTTTTATACGGTTGTGGGTTTTTTTTGGTCTACTCCATCACTGCACCTAAGCCCGAGACATTTTTAATTTGTTATGCCAAACCATATTTTTATATATTTTTTTTGTTTCTTACAAAATAGCTGCAATGAACAAATAGATTTAACTGTAAACAGCTGCTTGACACTTGGCGTCGGTTTCCTGTAGGCTAAGTAGCTTGTACGTCTAGTCGTAGGAAGCCGAGACTGGTACTAAGTGCAAGAATTTTGTGCCTCTTTGGAGATGAGAAGACACGTTGGCCTACAATCTGTTTTTAATAGTCATTGGTCAGTTTTGACAGGAATATGCAAGAACAAAATATGAACC